TCACTACTGTGCTGCTCGCTGTTCTCTTTGCTGGAGACTGTGACATGAGGAAGCAAAGCCCCGCCTCTACCAACATGGCTACCTTTCCATAGAGACACAACGCAAAACAAGTCAGGAGGAGGGAGGAAGACCAGTAGGCAATACTGGTGGCAACTCTTATGTCCTCTGCCTGCCTTTTTTTGGACATCCAGAGTTCAGTTCCTCTTTAGCAGAAAGGTATGCATTTTTTACATTTCTTGGGAATAAATTAATCCAAACTTTAGAGCCGAACTGCCCTCACCCTGTGCAGATCCAGGTATACTGGTATAATCCAGGTATAAAAAGCATGTGATGCACTACAAAAACAGTGCTTGGGTCTGAGCAACCATATCTCAGGCTTTAGTGCTGTCACATGAAGTGAGCTTAGAGCACCATACAGTGTGCAGTTACTGACAATACTGGGCCATACTGGTAATTGCTGGTAACTTTTGGGAGGTAATGGGAATGTCTAGGAATGGGTGGTAGCAGATTTAAATAACAAATTGAAGCCAAACTCCAGCTAATACTTTATAATCAGTTACAGTAAACAGCTTTTTTTTTCCTTTTGGAGATAAAGGTTTTACATAAATAAAAATTCAGCTGATCATTGTCAGTCGTAAATGGTTTGTTTCATCCCTGTAAACTGATACATCTGGAAGAAAGCTTGTTCTTTTGAAAAACAACAAACTTACTGGCCAGATGAAAATAGAGGAAAGAAAGCCTAAAAAAGAAAACAAATGCAGTCATCACATTTAAGAATGGTTAAGCTGCAATATAACAAATGTTTGCTTTTGTTTTTAATATTTGATTTAAGTGGTGGTTCAGTCTATTATGAATTCTGATGCTAGATTTACTGTATACACCTTACTGACCGATCTGTGACTGATGCCCCTCTCTGCCAATTCCTTCACTGGCTTCCACTAGCCCAACATATAAAATTCAAAATACTAACTGCAACATACAAAGCCATCCACAACACTGCCCCCAGCTACATCACCAACCTTATCTTGAGATATCACCCAAATCGTCCATTTTGCTCCTCCAAAGACATCTTGCTCTCTAGCTCCCTTGTTACCTCCTCCTATGAACTTCCTCAGGACTTTTCCAGAACCTCACTATCCTCTGGAACTCCCTACCCCAGTATTTCTGGTTAGCTCCTACCCTGTCTGTCTTTGGACTATCCTTGAAAACTTCTTTATTCACAAAGCCTACCCCACCTTAACTTGAAAACCGCACTTGGGTCACCTCCATTAGATCATCCCCAGCAGCTATTACTTTTTGGACCACCTCCCTCTCCTTTTAGATTTTAAGCTCCATGAGCAGGGGCCTCCTATTCCTTTTGTATTGAACTGTACTGTAATTGTACTGTCCCTCTTTATATTATAAATCACTGCGCAAACTATTGGTGCTATAGAAATCCTATATAATAATAATAATTATTATTATTATTAACAATAATAATGATAAGGATCGCAGTTCAAGAAGGTGCAGCTGCAGCTGGTTCCCTGCTCAGGGCCAGGCTTTGTGTAGTTCCCATCTCTCTTAAATTTTACTATCTACATTATGAGTGCAACTCACATGTCTTTGGAGAGGTGCTCACAAACCATCTTCCATAGCAGATAGGGAAGCTTCTAATGACAACTCCATTTCTGCACTGAGTCCTAGAATGACATGGTTCACCAATTTTAGCTTTTATATTGCTCTCATTACTAGTTTCCATTCAAGTGTCTGACATAAAAAAACAATTTCAGACTCAATAATGGTTAGCTCATTTGGTCTTTCACCATTAGCGTCCTAGATTTAAATCCCAACCAGGCACTATCGTCATGGGGTTTGCATGTTCTCCTTCTGCTTGGAGGGGTTTACTCCAGTTTCCTTCCACATTCCAAACACATTCTGGTAGGTAAATTGGCTCCTGTCTAAATTGGCCTTAGTATATGTTCATGTGAGACAGGGACCTTAGACTGGAGACTCCTGGAGAACTAGGACTGATATAAATGTAGAGTATGTCATGTGCTGCTTACATTGACGGTGTTATATAAATACCTATAAAAATAATCACCTGTGTTTTAATTTACAAACCAATCAGACCAATTGAAAAATGACAGATGGAGAGTGAGATATTAAATCTAGTTAGTTGCTTTGTGGCAATGCAGACAGTTCTTATTTCAGACACGTTGATGAATTACACTCAGGAGGACTTGTTATTAGCAGAGTCCAACCAGCTTGGATAGAGGGCAGCTGTGATTCATTAGCTTATTCAGGATACATTAATACGTGTTTTATTCAATGTCCATTTGCCTTCGCCTGAGACACCTGAAATTAATTGGTACCCTTTGCTAAATGGCACGCATGCTACAGAATCTCACCGTAGAAAAAACGCGTAAAAGGCAGCAAGAATGGCTTAGTCTGTTGACATATACGGCCCACTATACAAAGAGTCAGGAAAAGAATACTGATTACAAGGCAGGTTGCCGATTTAGAGTGGAACTCCTGGAAGGTAAATAAATGCACAGTTGAAATACATTTATGCTTATGTAAGTTTTTTTATTTTGTTTAACCGGTCTTGTGATTCCCACACCTCATGCCAAAATACATAGTCAGGAAAAACACTACGTTCGGGTTCAGCTTTACAATTTCCTGCTTCAACCACAACTGGACTGAGGAACCAGTAACTAAACGTGCCACCTGCCTGTCCCTTCAGTGAGTAAGGCAGGCCATAGATTATGCAGTGTTCTTTCCTTTCACCACAGTCAGTTGATGGGGGAATCTAATAGCCACCAACACTAATCCTTCAGGAAAAACCTGAAAGGTTGGTTGAACACAAGTCATTCCATGGATTGATTTGTGTACAACCAAGGTGCCCATACATGGATCAGAATTTGGCCAGACACTGCTGAACTGGTTAAATTTTGATCCATGTATGTCCGACTTAAATCACAAGATTGTTGAGGAAAGTGGAAAAATAGTGCTGCACCTGTAAGGTTATCTTATTGGTTTTGCTATCTTTAAGTATTGGAATTTTTGTAAATTGATTTCCTGGGAAAATGGCTTCTACACCCCAGAGGATCTCCAGTTTCCTTGGCTTGCAGTGGCAATGTAATGTAACAAAAAGACAAGCAGAAGCGCCATACCACTACTAAAAGGTCCAGATATGACTTTTTCCCAATAAAAGTCCAGGGACAATCAAAAGAATAACCAATGTGGTTTGAGGGTCCAATATGCCCCTTTATCAGGGTCAATTGTTAAAGGACTAGAAGTGAACTGGACCTCCAATGGTATTTTTTCAATTGTAATTACAGGCAAAGGTCTTGAGTGCAGCTGGTTTTGGCAATCATAAGAGTGAAAGAACAGTAATTGCCTCTCAGTTTTCACTGGAACAGGTTTCCCTATTAGATTTCCCCTCACCTCCTGTTCCAGTTGCACATTTTGGATTTGCCAGAATTTTAGGCTCTGGTGACAATGAGCACATGTAAAAACAGACGTGGTTAATCTCCCTAGACAGCAGAAATACCCTGACTGAGGTTCTATTCCTTCCCAAAGCTATCTAAAGATATAACAAATGAAGTCTGCAGAGATATTCAGAAGTAATTTGCAATTTTATTTTCATATTTTTACATGCTTACTGGTGCCTATTTTTTGTATTGAATTTAGATATTTGTAGATAAGCCCTACAGGCATAGCAGATAAGCTACTACAACAATTCTGCGTCTCTAAATAACAGCCTTTGAGATATAATATCAGTCACACTGGAAGAGTGTTTTCTCCTTTCACAAAAATCTTATTAGGTTTAAAGCAGAACTTTACCCATAATAGTTTGATACCAATTATTGTTCTTTAACAAAAGAACTTACATTCTACATTAATAATTATAATCAAAATCAGTGTGTGCTGTAAATTGCCTCCAGCATTTCTCCTTGCTGGAGGTTGCCATTTTGTTTAAGCCAGAGCAGTCACTTCCCTATTGGAAACTCTCCTCCTTTGCTTGGTCTCAAAAACTATATGTCTCTCTCTATAATTAAAATATGTAAAATTCCAGCCTTGATTGTATGTCTTTCCTACGCTAGAGAGCTAGGCTGACGGAAGCTTTACAGCGCTGCAGTTCACAGGCTGCTCATCTGTTGACCAGGGAGAAAGAAGTGAATATCAGGGTGATAAGATAAGACATGATCTTTGTAAGTTTTAAATCTTATGTGTCTCTCTGACAGCAGAGTTTGTCCTGTCACCTCCTGTTAGACATTTTAGATAATAGCATGCTTTCAACCTTAGCAGTTTGGGGAAGGCCATTGTCTATTGTGGTATGACTGTGCCCCTGTGCACAAAGCCAGCTCCACAAAGGGGAATTTATTGTGGAGGAACTCGTTGCACAGAGCCCTGACCTCAACTCCACTGAATACCTTTGGGATGCATTGGACTTTACAAATGCTGTTTTGGCTTAACCTCCCTGGTGGTGTAATTAAGTCAATATTTTTGAATGTCAAAGTGGTACATTGTTTTGCATGGAAATTTGTTGTTTTATATTGTAGGCCTGTAATTCTTAGGAATAACTCACTTAAATCTGTCCAAACAAGAGTCTAATAAACATCCCAGGTATGATAAAGTTTGAAACACAAAATCATAAATTATAATATAATAAATAATTATACAAATAATATAATAATAATCATAAAATTAATTAAATAATGTAATCAAACCAAAAACACTGAAATTTTAAATAGAGCACCAAGTTCGCACACATCACTGAGCTCAGTCGCAGAATCGTCACTGTCGTCACTTTCAGTGTCTGATGATGAATCTCCCCACAAATCACTATTGCTCAATTCTGCAAATGATTCTAATTCACCATCGCTGTTTTCTAGCTGGTCTAAAACTTCTTTTGACCTAAGGGGATGCTTTTTGGATACCATGGACATTCTCAAGTTTCCAGATAGAAAGAACAGTAAAAGTACAGGCAGGGCACTGGACAAAGCACTCGGAACAAAATGTATGTGAAATGGTTTGATACAGTAATGTAATCCTAACAGATTACAATGTATTGTGTGTATGTCATGTTTTTACTTTTTTGAATCTCCCTCTGGTTCCGCCCCCCTGCATCCCAACGCTCGCAGGGAAAGGAACCCGTAAGACGGATGCCGGCATCAGCCGGAGGACACAGTGGAAGGGCATCGGGGGATCACAGGACAAGGTAAGGATCGGGGGATTGCAGGACAAGGACTACAGTGTAATCCCGAGTGTGGCTCGGGGTTACCACTTTTGGTACTGTAAATTAGCTCCGAGCCACACTCAGGATTACCACTAGGAAGATTAATGGACACAGATTCCCACAGACACACTCCCACAGACACACTCCAAAATCTTGTGGAAAGCCTTCCCAAAAGAGTGGAGGCTGTTACAGTCTAAAAGGGAGGATGGTAGGGGTGGGCACCTCCATAAAAATGTCCATAGTTTTGGAATAAAATAGCCAACCAGCTCCTATAGGTGTGATGGCCGTGTGTGATCCGTATTGAACTGATTGGCTGGTAAAAATGTGTATGTTTAATGTTCAGTTTATTTACATATATTTCAAGTTAGACTGCATTGTTTGACTCCCAACATGCATGCTAAAGTGTTCGCCCACTTTCAATTCCTGCCTGCCTCAAATAATAAAGTACAGGTGTCAGATGCAGACAAATCAGAGTTCCTATTGCCTTAATCTAGCAAGGGATGGGCAGGGTTTTTATCTTGTGACCCTCTGGATTCTTCTGAAATGTCTCACCTGAGAATAATGAGATGTATGGATTTTATGTCGGAGCAACTATTATTATCTATGGCTGGATCTAGAACATACCCATCTCAAAAGACTATGGAGGATTTAAAGTCCAACTCCATGTTTGATCAACTCTTTCCTTTTCTCTTCCCTGAAGTCCCCTTGCACTTATCTTTTGACCTTATGTTCTGCAGTCTTCTGACTTCTGGATTCCATAAGCAAAAGACTTTCCATCAGTATTGCGAGCTAAGGCCATGCTGTCAGCTATTGTATTTCCAGTACAGCCCCAATGCATAGACGTGCAGCCCCAATGCAAAAAGACTTTTATCCAATGGTGTACACTGGAAAAAATTATTACATAGTTACATAGTTAGTCTGGCTGAAAAAAGACAAAAGTCCATCCAGTTAAACCATTAAAAAAAAAAAGCAAGACGTGCAGTCTTTTGTTCAGTGCAGCAGGTTGTGATGCAAACACACGCATCAGAATGCCACTGTGGAGAACAGAACTGTATCGAAATGTCACTCTAGCCACTGATCTAGAGCATATGGGGAGCTTTACTTGCTGCATGATATCCTCACATCCCATGTGATAGTGCTGCTTCTGGACGCCTGCCCCTCCTGCCCTTAGTGTGATGACATGCCCCCAAGCACATCCTGTCCATGATATCCAACATTGCATGGTGAAGCAGTGAGTCCCTGTAGCACCAGAGAGGAGGTGAGTAATGCAGAATGAGTCTTTTTTTAAGAAAAGGTGGACTTAGGTTTTAAACACAACTTAGGCTTGGCTAGGCTGTTGCAGTGGCTACTCTGACACACCTGCATCTGAAATATGTACTTTTACTTTTACAATTTAAAAATTTACTTTTGCTTGGATAGCATAGGGAATGGGCAAAACTCTTTTCATTTTTTTTTTCTTCTGCCTGTGTCCTGTTGGGGAGATTTTCCTTCACATTTCCTGACCTGGAAACTCAAATTCAGCTGGGAATTCAGATCACACTTATTATGCACAAATTTAACTCAAATTGGGTTGATGCTGTGATCTTGGACACAACCACAGCAACATTGGGACATAGGACAGAGATGACGGACTGTTCCAGCAAATTTGGGACAGCTGGTATCTATGCTATCCCTCCAGTATAGTTATGCATTTTTGCGATAGCTGAGATGCTCAGCTTCCACGGGATCCTGAGTGAGGTCACTGGGTCCTAGGTAGACAAGTCTAAAGTTGAAGTCTAAGGTAAGTATCCTATTTATTTTTTTATAGGGCCGAATATGTGTTATAATACAATCCTTGGGTGTCAATAGGTCTTCTTTCTCTGCATTCCTATCATGCATTAGACCAGGGGCGGCCTGACAACTCATGGGGCCCCCGGGCAATAGGGGATCATGGGGCCCTTGTGTCCTTGCCCAAACTCAAAAAAGCCTATGAAAAAGGAACCAGGGGCATCTCATGGGGCCCCCTTACTGACCCTGGGCCCTTGGGCAGTGCCCGAGTTTCCAAATGGTCAGTCCGCCCCTGTACCAAACCCAAACTCATCCCTAAACTGCAGTAGAGAAGCGTCAGGTCACCAACTTGACTTTGCTGTCTGGTAGGGCTGTACTAATCTTAGGACTAGATAAGCAGATTTGCAAATTCTGTAAATTTAGATTGCAATTTAAAAATGAGCTTCTTAAGAAAGCCCCAGCTTTGTGAAACAGAGCTAACAGAAATAATAAATATGCAAATGGTCCAAATGGTCAGTCTGCTCCTGCATTAGACTCTTCGGTGGGCTTTCCCAACAGAGTCTTATTGCCCAATCCTTGGTAGAAGTGGCTGAGAATAAAAAGGGAAGCTGACAATGAAGGAAAAATAAATTGGACATCCTTCCCCCCTCCTTATACCCCTCTCTTATGCTCTTCCCACTCCTATACCCTCTCACCTTTTCCTCCCATCTTCCTGCAGTGGATATACTTCCTTCCTCTTCCTTTCTTCCTATTACGGGCTGCTGCAATATTACCCGGCTCATTGTTAACTACTTTACCTTACAGGCTACATGTTTTGCTTTTTATCATGCCATTTACACTATTGGATGTTGTATTCTTGCCAGAAACGTTCTTGCTGCCTAACATCGTCTTGGCTATTTCACAAAGTTTTATTATGCTATGTTTTATACCTTAGAATTTTTTCAATAAAAAATGTATTGAAAGTTAAATGCATCTCTAGCCCAAATTTACTCTTGGTATTGAATAAAGCAGGGATGGGAAAGACCTGTAAATTTCCATTCACTTCCTCTCCCAGAGACACAAAGCTACAGATCCCAATTTTTCTAGTTTAGAAGATCATTCACTCAAGACCTGGGATACTCATCTTCTTTCTTTTTAATGCTAATTTTTTTTTGTGTTTGATTTTTTTCCTAGTGATAGAGGACTTATAAATAGCATTTACTTGTATTTGATGCAAGGTTGACTTTAAAGCAATAATAAAAGTTCAGATTTTTTTTTAATATAACAAACATGTCATACTTACCTGCTATGTGCATTGGTTTTGCACAGAGCAGCCCTGATCCTCCTCTTCTCAAGTCCCCCGCTGGCGCTGCTTGTTCCTCCCCCCTACTGAGTGCCTTCTTGCTCCGGGGGCACTTGTGCATGCTTGCTCCCGAGCCGTCTCTGTGTGTCTAAAAGACACATAGACCGAGGCTCAGCCCTGTACCCCCCCTCCTACCTCATTGGCTGTGATTGATAGTAGCGAGAGCCAATGGCTCCCACTGCTGTGTCTCAGCCAGTGAGGAGGGAGAGACCTGGGAAAGCCTCTGGTCTCCTGCACATCGCTGGATCAAGATCGGGCTCAGGTCAGTATTGGGGTGCTGAGAGGTGAACTGCACGCTGAAGGTTTTTTACCTCCATGCATAGTATGCATGGAAAAACCTTCAGCCTTTAGAACCATTTTAACTGGTGGCATGCTTGACCCAGGTCACTAAGGCCTCATTCAGATGGGCCAATGAGGGCGTTTAGGCTGAAGGCTACTTCTGGATGCAGTAGTATTTTGTGCTTTGGCCAGTTGGTATGCAGCCATAAACGCTATCCTTGAATGCAAACTGTCTGTATCCAGGGCCAATCAAAGTCCCCAATCACAGCAGCCATACATTTTTATAGGGTACAATCCTAGCTGTGTCATTGCTGGCTGTGGCTGTTTGCACACACTGCGTGTTTTCAGCTAGTTTTTCCTCCATTATGAATAGCTGATTCTTGGCGGTGGCAGCCTGCAGCTACCCATATGAATGAAACCTTAATCATTCAAATCAGGTTCAGCATGACAGGCCTGATCACTGTGCCTCTAACAACAAGGCAGCAATGGCAGGCCCCATATTTACAAGTTCTCTTTAAGCAATAGAATCTTACACCACGAAAAATCCAATCAGTGCTTTTAAAGGAAGCTAATTTTATTCATCTGACTTATTTACTAGATAAGCCTCACAGCTGATTATATGCATAAAAAGTAAACGCCTGCACTGTGGAATAAGTAGGTGCCTTCTGGCCAGAGAAGGTATATATTTTCTTTATGTGCTATTTCTATCCAATTACACAGCGAATTGGTTGAGATACAGGACTGATGATGTGTGTTTACAATACAGTAAGTCCCCGGGCGGAAATAAGTCTTCTCTCTCCATTCCAGTTCTGCGCTGGACCCTACTATGAGCTTTCCCAACAGAGTCATATCGCCCAATCCCAGGCAACGGCGGCAGAAAATAAGAAGGGAAAACGACGAAGAAGGAAAAATAAAAAATAATAGTTTATTGTGGCATGGAAATAAGAGACATAATACGCAGAATCTTTGCGATAATGGCGCCTGTGAGCTGGTGTTTATAGCAATACCTTAGGGTGCTGTAGCAACATTAGACTTGGCTGCATGCAAGGAAGCAATTTGCTAAAGTGGATCCTGAACACATTGACCAAGGTGGGAATTCTAGGGCTTGTTCCAAGGGCACCTTTCTGAGAGCGTCTACCCGTGAAATAGTAATCTTATATCTGATAACCATTTCTTTTCCACTTTTTTCGATTTTTTTTCCTTGCCGTGTCTTTTCAGAACAGCTTCTGTTGTCAAATTTTTCTTGTCTTATTAGTGGGATGTATGCTGCTATGGTTCATGTCACACAAGCAGACCTGGATAGGAGATATAAAGTCACCGGCAGTCAAATGCGTATCACATATTTTATTGAGAAGACAATGTCCTGTGGGTCCAAGAATGCTGATGTTTCTGGGCCTCCTGATGTCCCTTTCTCAAGGTG